GTATAAAGTAAGCAAATCTAGAAACTAGCTCAGTAGTTATGCTTTTCACTCTCTGCAGGCAAATAGAGGTGGAGGTGGGGGTGGGGGGTGTAGAGTTTGTTGAGTGTTGTTTTTTATTTCTTTAGAAAACAAGAAGCTCTACATTTTGTTTTGCAAATGTGCTGGAAGAAAGAGGAAATAACTTCTTTTCAAAAGTAGGGGTTTTTTTTAGTTTTCCTTTAAAAATAGGCTACTTGGCATATGTTAGTTAGGGTAAACAGCCAGGATGTTGTAATGTTGTACATTGTGCTTTTTGATGTGCTCTTTCTCACATTTTTATCCCTTTTAAAAAAAAAAAAAAAGCATTTGCTCTAAATTCATGCGGTACTACTACTTCTGCTGACATTCTGTGCAAGTGTTGAATATAGGGCATTTGCTTATTTTAAACATGGGAACACGACCAGGCTGATTTTCATTCATGATGCAACCAACAAAAGAAGAATTGATGACCTTATGTCTAGGGCACCTATGCCGAAGATGTATCCATGTGTCATGTTTTAAAGTCTCATCTATGGTATACTTCTTCCTTGCAAAAATAAGATGATAGTGGTGATAGTTGCATAATTTCTGTGTCAAGACCACATAAAATTTCAAGTTATTTGCAAATGATGTCAGGCTAAATACGTTAATCATAAAGCATCTTGGCTTTTAGTAAGGTTAGATACTACATCAAGCTCATCATAGCTACTGAAAGCAAAATGTTTGCTTAAAGTGGTAGAGGGTAGAGTGCACGCATGTGCAATGTTTGTCGCATACATTTCCATGAAAATATTTCATGTAGAAGAGTTCAAAAGTGTTTCACTGTGACTTTTCCCTACTATTGTAAGACTTACTACCTAAGGCTTGCATTCCATTGTGACAACTCCCCTGACCTAGCATGGAAAACAGGTGTCACCAAATTTAAAGTGATGTATTCTCCCTTAGTGTGACCTTGATGATAAATAATAGATTTAAACAACAGCAATGCCCTGAGCACATTTCAACTCTTCAGCCTTACACATACACAGACACCCACAGCAGATGCACTAGCAGTACTGAGTTTGATGATGAGCTTTAGCATACCTGCTCTGTACAACGGTCCCTTCCTAAAATAATAGCATCTGAAATAGTGACGTGCTTTTTCTTCTACCCTTTCGCTCTGCCCCAAATTATAGAGATTAGCATTCTCAGAAGAGCCCTCCTTTCCAAATATCACAAAGAATCTCTAAAAGCAATCCTGCATTGTATTGCATACAACTCTGTGTCCTTGCTGTCTGTTCTCCTTCCTCCTTTTTTCATCTTATGCATCCTACCATCTTAGAAATGACTGGTTTTATGGAGGGATACAACATCCTATTCTTTTTACAAGATATTTTTTTTTCTCCACAGCCAGTCAGAATATCATTCTTTAATACAGGTTGTTGTCACATAATTTGCTTCAGATGTGCTGATTCCCTTTTCCCTATAATCACAATCAGCAGCAGCAGCACTGATTATCTTTCATTAATAACTGCTTCCTTTGCTCAAAGCAGTTAAGGACAATCTCACCAATATGGGAAACCCAAACACTCAGCCATTGCAAATGTTTTTCCAAGCATGATTTTCTCACTTATGAGTAAGTCTGTTTTGGGCTTAGAGCTGCAGGTGAAATCTGTTCAACAGAAAGTGATACACAGCTTTACAGGGGCATCACATGATTGCCCACCAAATAAAAAGGATTCTGAAGAAAAGGCATACACCAGCTTGGAGAGCTGTGGAGCCACTTTCATTGTAAATTTTTGTTGGTTTGAGGTTTTCTTTTTCTCCTTTAAAGAACAGGCTAGACTACAATGATTAAGCTATACTTATGCATGGTCTGGGCTGCAGCCCTGCACAAGCAATTGATTTTTGCAGTATTTAAGCACAGATTAAAAAAAAAAAAAAAAAAAAAAAAAAAAAAAAAAAAAAAAAAGACATTTAGAAGATGCTTCTAGAATGAACCCTCACTCACCAGGGTGGAATTGAGTTTGGATCCTCTATATTCAGATGTGGGATGCTATTTTCTGAGCTGAAAAAACACCACCCTTAGCCATGCTGAGAAGGAGACAGACATCTTAGGGAAGCAGGTACAAGGAGTAAATTGGTATCATATACTTAGCCAGAATCCCCTGCTGCTGCTTTCTGGACTCAGACTTCTGTCTGATGTGCTTGCATGGCAATGCTGTACTATGAAGGCATGCACATAAATCCAGTTTCTGAAATCAGTTCTGTCACTTGTACCTTCTGGTGCTCGCTATGCACCCCCTCTGCCCACACCTGGGCCAAGGGGTGTTCTGTTAGCTATCCAGGCCCTAAAATATACATGTGCAATTTAAGCTTACGTGGACAATGGCTCATAATTTACACACTGCCCAGGAATTCAGTTTCTGACTCGTTCAAGAACTTGTTGGCTTCTCAAACAGCTCTTTTTCTACAATGCTGCTAAGCCACCCTTGCCCAAGCAACTTTTATTTGTCTACTAAGAATTTTGCTGAGTCACAAACTACCTCGTGAATATATGTCTGAATCCTATGATGTGATCTTCAAGTAGCCAAGAATAAATGGAATGTTAATATTCTCCCACTAGAGACCAGCAGAGGCACCGATAAATCATTCTGGTGGCTTGCCTTTTTCAGTTGTAAGACAAGGATACATTAGATTCACACAATAGCATTGTTCAGGGATGGAATGATGACTCTCTAGTGAAGAATAACAAGCCTACAGCTCCATCTGGTGAGTCAGCTAGCCAGCGACCTTGGCATACTGGAATGAAAATAAAACTAACCCAACACTTAACTGATTTCCAGGATTTATTTGCAGAATAAAGAAATGAATAGGACACTAATTCTACAAACAAATCCGTAGAAGATACCTCTCAGGCCTGTTCTGTTTTCATTTTTACTCATTGGCCAAGCCCAGGAAGTAATTTTAGAAGAAACCTCTGCTATACTAAGTGAGATTCCCTTAGATAGCCCCTCTGTGCTAAAAACATTATGGTAAACTAGCAGAACTGATCTAAAAATAGAAGGGAAAAAATCCTGCTTCTAGTTCTAGCATCAGAGATTTAATTAGTTCTGGACACAGAAGAGAGCCCAATGAAAATATTTTAAATTATGAAAACAGCTCAATGGAAATATTTAACTGATGAAAACAAACACTGCAAATATCCTTTCTGCTGTTCTCCTTTGCTCAGCAGGAGAAAGATGTATTTGATAAAAGTTCATTTTTCAACTCAAAGAGCATGTGGTGTTCTTATACACAGTGCTTTTCATCTTCAAAGCCTTTTATGAAAATTAATTAATTCTCACATCACCAAGAGAGGTAAGCCAGGCATACTCATGTTGTAGGACAAAAACATGTCCAATACTAACACACGTTCAACATCCAAAAATGGAATTACAGTGCAACATATTGTGGCTGCTAGTCCTGCATTTGGATGCAATTAAATCTAAGTTTGAAATAACTCCATGAAATGTTCGCTTTTCAGCAGCGACATACAGCAACATTCTCTCATGAAGTAATTTCTGGCAGTACCTATGCTTCAGAGTGGCATGCTAGATACAACACTTGTTGTCAACATTGTAGCCTCAGCTAAAGGACCAAAGGATGAAAAAAGTGCTTAGAGAAGTTAATTTTGCTTTTAATGTTTAGTTAGATACTTCTGTGCTTATGCAACAGCTGAGAAAAATTTAGTTCGGCATGAGCAGAAGGTGAATTTTACGTATATAATTTTATCTATCTGGACCTTCTTCTTTGTTCTTGCTATAAAATGCTAATAGATTCTTGCCTCCACTCTTCTACCCTCTCCAACTTTACTAACTCTTAAGTACAACCCCCCCAAGCTATTGCTTTTTCTTTCATTGTGCTGGATTAGACATGGTAGATATCTTTGTTCTATGATAGATGCATATTTTACAGAGACCCCATTCCTTCTCCAGAGTGTGATCAACACAAAAAGTACCACGCTGCTATTCAGCATAAGCATATTAATTTAAATTGAGATCACACTGGTTTAGCTATAACCAATAGGTTTAAACTCCCAAAATGTAGTGTTGCTATGTGCAACAAATAGTTGTTTTAAAAAAAGGGCAGGTGCACAGCCATTTCAGAGGAATAAAAAAATACCTTCTCAATTTCATATTACATGGAAATAAAGCGCTCATTCGTTTTTATACAATCTTTCCTTCTACAATCACAAAGAGGAATTTAGATAAATAATCCATAATGATACAGCATATTATTATGGATTAGAGGCATACAACCTCGTCTTGGCCAGCTAAAACAGGCAGAGGAAATTGCAACATTACTGTACTTGAACAGCAAGACAAGTCTAAAAGAGGAAGGGTACATTCCATTAATGGAGCAGTGGTATGACATTCTATTTTTAACCTACTCTAAAAGCAGAGCTAGAAATGGTTTCATTACTGAGTCACCTATCAGTAACTCGAAATAGGATCTACCGTTTTACAGTTCAATTTTAAAAATCAGTACTGTCTTATTTATTCCTCTCCACCTTCATATTACAAAACGTTTGTTAAATCAGTTTTGTTATACTGAGATAAATAGGCCAGAGTACTACTGAACTTACCACTAGAAGTGAGCAGTGTCCTACGAATTAAAAGAACATCTTGATTTTAAGAACAAATTACCATAGGTAAACAGGCTCAATTTTAGTAAACCATTCCAGTTTTAATCTGACAACTATTAGCCTTCTTACAATCTACGGAAGAGTAACAAAAAATATAATGCCTAACGGTTTCTGGGCTCTTTAATGGACTGTAACTTTTGACTTCTAAGTAACAAGTCAGAGAAAAGTGCATGCATATCAATCTCCTTTTTTTTTTTTTTTTTAAATGTAGTGCAGATAGGTATTATGCATATATGGTGTGAGACAAGACAGAAAAAAAAATCTCTGCCTACAGTAAAAATTTAAAAAATTACGATTTATAAATAGGACTGCAGTATGAAAAAGTCAGTACAGTAGAAAAGATAAGGCCAGTATTCCTACTCCCCAAGCTACACAGCATGAAATTAATAACTAGAATTTTGAAGCAATTCATTTAATACTGTTATAATGGAAGAAAGCAAACATGTATGTAATTAGCCAACGAAAATGACTACTGCTTATTATTACTGAAGCATCCTGATTCAAAGCAAGCACTAGATACTGACTGACTGTAGGGAGGTGAAAGGAAACACTATGCAGTGGTCCTCAGTTGTCCCTTTAAAGGACACAAAAGTGAAAAGGCTACTTGATTTGGCAGTTTCCATCCTGTGCAAGGAAACAGAAATAAGCCTGATCTTCAACCAGAATAATCGCCTCTGGAGTTTAATTTCAAGAAAGTCATCTAGCTGTACAGGACTCCCCCCCTGCCATCCCCTGATACGACATAAGCCAAACAAGAGGTAAAACAATGTACATCCTTTGTGATTTTTGATTAGTGAACTGAATATACAAAATTAGATCTGGGCTTACATGTGTTACTAATACAACAGTGTTTCTATTTAAAATAGTGTTAAGATCTTCAATCTAAACCTACATTAAAGCACAGATAAAAAGGGAAAACATACATCTCAGGTTCTGTTAGTTTAACCAACAATTCCGGGTTTGCAGTGGGAGATCCTTTGTGTTAATACAGTGCTGTAACTCATGGGTACACATATACACACCATCAGGCATAATGTAAACAAAGCGCTATCTCAACATTGCAATGACTCATTTCACTTGTACGTCAAACCAAGATGTCATTTATTTGAATAGAAAGGAAATGTTTCCTATTCCATGTGGTATGTAACAGTGCTAATTTCTATTTGATGATACCACGCAAGCAATCCAAGAACTCGAGTCTACTTCTGCAGACTGCTTTGTAAGCACACCTGTGCTGGCCTACTGGAAGTAATCTGCATATGTGCTCATTCCATTTTATATTGATAAACAATGGTAGTAAAGAAGGGAGAGAGATACTGTAATTCAGTGCAAGCTTCGGGACCCATTATATTCTGATACTTTAGGATTTTATCATACATCCAGTACAAGCACTCCTATAGACATGATTTCTTCCTTTCTTGAGTTTTTTTTTTCCTCAACATTTGCTGTTGACATTTTTTTCTAGTATGACTTCAAAACAAAAATAAGGGAGCATTTAATATCAGACTATTTCATGTCAATCACAACAGCAAGAGGTACGAATATTCTTGGGAAAACAGTGTGCATCAAGACTGGGCTCTGAATGGCTTTACTACCACACACTGTGTATTGTATAAATCTACTAAACACAACACTGCATACAAGTCATTTTACAAGTGAGTGCATCTGTGCATTTGCATATATGCTTCTCCATTCCTTGAAGCTCATACACTCAAACTTTAGGCACCTGTGTACATGAAGAAGAAGCTTTAGAAAATACAGTACCTCATTTAAGAGTGAGTGAAGAGATGTGTTTGTGTTCTCAGAAAATGGTGCTCTGGTGGGATACAAGACAAGGCTTAAATGAATCATACTCAATATCAATGCAAACCACAGAGTCTGCAGGGGGCTCTGAAATACATGTGAAGACAGCTTTTATCACTGGAGTTACCCCTCTAAAAACATCTCTTTATTGCAACAGCTCCAAACAGTGACACAGTTTTGTGTCATCTTGAAAGACAGACCCAGAATTCAACAAAGATACTATCACTAGACAAGAGCAGGAATTCTGTCTCTCTCATGTTACGTGATTTAGCTTGGTGGTTGGGGTTTGGAAATCTAAAGCACCTAAGATGTCCTCTGATGGTTTGAGAAACTTCAAAAAATACTACGGTGCTCTGTTCTAGGGCTTCAGTTTGCCCTCCTTCACTAATTGCTCATTGAGCTGACAAAGCTGCCTTAGAAAGCCATCATTGGGGCCGATCTCTCGCTTCTGCCGGACAGTGCTCAGTGCAGACTTGACATCCATGTTCTGGCGAAGCATGAGGTAGGCGATGACCAGTGTAGGAGAACGGCTGTAGCCCTCACGGCAGTGCACAAACACTTGTCCTGCAGGGAAGACAGGTCATAATTTGGGTTATACTGGAATATATGTTTGAAAATCAACATGAAATAGCTGGGATGTAAAGTGTAATAATTTTAGTTGTTAAGCAGCTTGAGAACTGTAAATTCCGAAGCTGCAGAAGACATACAGAACTTAGATGAAAAGTGCTATCACTGTTAGTAACTACACAGTCTGTCATCAAGGGTAATGCAGAAAAATATGGTTGCATATCAAACATCCATACTAAGTCATATTTGCTACTATATTACAAAGAGTCGAACTGTATCTATTTACTACACTTCTCCAATCTTTTGTGGTTTAGAATAAGCCTTGCTCCTAAAGATGACCCCTAAAGATGTGCTTTGAAGAGCACAAATAAATAAAGTTTAAATACACTGAAGACAGAGAAATATGCTGTTTGTCATATATCGCATCTCAAAGATATCCGGCCTTTTTGCTGCATTGCGGCCAATTCCTATGCTAACTCCATGTTGAATCATACCTGCCTTTTTATGAAGCTACATTAACACTCAAGTAAATGAAACTGATGACTGTGCATCAACAAGAACCAGAAATGTCTAATCACACCTATGCCAGTATCAGTAAAATGCTTCCAGCTAAATGATTAGGGAACTCATTCTAGATTATTTTTTGGGTTGTATTGGGTTTGCATGGCAGCTCTGGGGTAGTGGGAGGGTCTACAGGGGTGAGAACATGTCAGAAGCTTCCCCCATGTCTGATGGAGCCAGTGTCAGTGACCTTCGAGATGGACCTGTTGCTGGCCAAAGCTGAGCCCATCAGCAATGTTGGTAGCGCCTCTGTAATTTAAGAAGGGGAAAAACATGCTGCACAACAGCAGCTGGGAGAGTGGAGTGAGAGTATGTGAGAGAAATGACTCTGCAGCGACCAAGGTCAGCGAAGAAGGAGGGAGAGGAGGTGCTCCAGGCACCCAAGCAGAGATTTCCCTGCAGGTTGTGTCCTGCACCCATGGAAGTCCACGGTGGAGCAGAGATCCACCTGCAGCCCATGGGGAACCCCATGCTGGAGCAAGTTCCTCGCAGGACTTGTGACTGTGTGGGAGACCCATGCGAGAGCAGTCTGTTCCTGAAGGACTGCACCCTGTGGACAGGATGCCATGCTGGAGGAGGAGGAAGCAGCAAAGAAAACATGTAATGAACTGACTGCAGTGCCCATTCCCTGTCCCTTTGTGCCACTCAGGGTGAGGAGATAGAGAAAAGTGGGAGTGAAGTTGAGCCCAAAAAGAAAAGAGGGGTGGGGGGAAAGTGGTTTAAGATTTGGTTTTATATCTTCTTATACTACTTTGATTTGATTGGTAATAAATTAAATTAATTTCCCCAAGTCAAGTCTGTTTTGTCCATTACAGTAATTGCTGAGTGATCACCCTGTCCTTATCTTGACCCATGAGCCTTTCATCATATTCTTCTCCCCCTCTCCAACTGAGGAGGGTGAGTGATAGAGTAGCTTGGTGGGTACCTGGCATCCAGACAAGGTTAAACCACCACATGGGTAAATCCTGTAGGGAGATATCCAACAGTAAAGCAGGCCACTGCTCCCTTAGAGAAATGTAACTCGATTCTATTGCTTCTCAGCTGCTTCCTCTTTGACCTGCTTTTCCAGACACAAAAATTTTCCCCTTCCCAAATGCTGTGGGAGATATGGCCCAAGGCTACTCTCCAGAGTAAATTTTTTTCTGAGACAAGAGAACAGCTGAACCATACACACACATTTTCATCATAACCACAACTTGCTTTGAACTATAGCAACAGCAAGCCTGTTACCACATTTACCTTGAGCTGCAGAGGCTTCTCATCTCAAGGCAAATCTCTATAATCAGTAGCAAGTTAAAACAATTAATCCTCAACATTTCTTCAGAGCCCGTAGGCATAAATGAGCAAGATTTAGAGATTATTGGTCATGTATGTGTAAGACAATTGACTTTCCCTCTGCAAATGGTCAGAAGCAAAAGGGCCAGGCACTGTCTTAAGGGCTGCCTGCCAGACCTTTAGTACACCAGACTGCTGTCCAGAACTTCATGCAGCTGCAGTGCTAAAATGAAATTGAAGGAAAATACTACTGCATCCCACTTCGTTGTCCTTACTTTACACTTCAATGTCAAACAAAACGATCAAATTTCAGTAACTAGCTAATCTTAAAACTGGGTCCAGTATCACCCAGCTACAAAGCTCCTCTTTTTTTTACCACAGTAGAACAACAGTGGCAGGCATGGTAGACAACTACTAAGACTGAAAGGTTCAGTAAACAGAACTGCTACTGTAAATTCAGATTGCCTCTGCAACTGTTTAGATCAAACTGAGCAGGGACAGTCACGGCACAGCTGGCACTGTTAGACCATTCCTACTGTGCAAGTCACTAACTAACCTGTTTCAGTGAGTCACAATGCTAACTGGAAGAGCTGCATTTCAATTTTTAGAATTTTTCATAGTCCACCAGATGAGAGGTAAAATTTTTCACCTGTCAAAAGCACAACACAGCTCTAGCACCCCTTTTGTCAATTTTGGAGACAGAACTTCTAGAATTGTGGGAGCTCTTGTTCCTCCTTTTTCACATTCAGTCATGAAAGAAGAAAGGAATTAAGCATGTGTAGAAATAACTGGTATTCTGAAATAGTAAGACAACAACAAACACCATCTGGCCCACTGCACTATGTCCTAGGATTTCTGCTCTGAGGCAACACACTGTAGAGAAATGTGGCAATCAACAACAATGCAAGTACCATCTACAGCCTTCCTGCAATCTTAATTTAATGATTTAAATGTAACAAAAATTGGGAGGCCACATTCTCTATCCTTATTGTACATTTGGGAAAAAAAACATATAGCAAGTTGTGTGTGTACTCTTCAGCAATGCATTACTTGTATCACTTCTGCCTTTAATTTATAATTTCTGGTGTGTGTGGCAGGTGCACCCACCCCGATGAAAATGGGGCTTCCTGGCTGCTGAACTATAGTGGACGTTGATTTCTTTTTTTGTGCCCTTGTTCTCAAATTTTTATGGTAATTGGGGCCCCCAACAACTTAGATCCTGAACTTATTTTATTTTTTTATGTGATTTACCACTTCTAAGGAAAAATAAGAACACATCTTCCAAAAAAGGCACTATTAAAGGATGCACTAGCTGTTTCACTTTTCAAAGTCACCCCTAGAGTGACAGACTTCCATTTGTCATATACTGGAGAACTACAGGTATAGACAGAAGATTAAGATGTCTTATTGTGTATTCTGGTGTCTTTGATCCAGAGCCTCAATCTGAATTCCTGACTTGGTTGTTCAGCTGATAATCTGAGCAAGGAACCATTTTAAACAGTAAAATAAATTGCTAAGAAACATATGCAGTGCACAGAAAACATGGTAGAAAGATATTTCAGTTTGCCTTACCATCCTTCTGGGAAAGTGCTTTCTCAATAAAATCAGCTGCCTCCTCAAAATAGCGACTGAGATTAAATTCTTGTGTATCATTAGCTTTAATGCCATGGTATCTGATGCCTGTGCCTTCATAGAACTCTGCATTAGTGTTCACATGCATGAATGACTTCCCCTCTGCTGCATTCAGAACATGGGTTATCCCCAGACGCTGCAGCTTCATAATGTTCTTGGCTATGAACCTGTATGAAAGAAAGTGTCAAGAAAATGATTAGAACTTGGTGAATCATCTCAGTATTTATCATAGAATCACACAATGGTTTGAGTTGGACGGGTCCTTAAAGATCATCTAGTTCCAACCCCACTACCATGGGCAGGGCCACCTTCCACCAGCCCAGGTTGCCCAAAGCCCCGTCCAACCTGGCCTTGAACCCTTCCAGGGAGGGGGCAGCCACAGCTGCTCTGGGCAGCCTGTGCCAGGGCCTCACCCCCCTCACAGGGAAGAACATCTTCTTTACATCTATTCTAAATCTACCCTCTTTCAGTTAAAAGCCATTAACCCTTGTGCTATCACTACATGCCCTTGTAAAAAGTCCCCCTCCAGCTTTCTTATAGGCCCACTCTAGGTACTGGAAGGCTGCTCTAAGGTCCTCCCGGAGCCTTGTCTCTCCAGGCTGAACAACTCCAACTCTCCCAGCCTGTCCTCACAGGGGAGGTGCTCCAGCCCCCAATCATCTTCGTGGCCTCCTCTGGTCCCGCTTGAGCAGGTCCATGTCCTTCTGATGTTGGTGTCCCCAGAGCTGGACTCAGCACTGCAGGGGGAATCTCACGAGAGCAGAGTAAAGGGGGAGAATCCCCTCCCTTGACCTGCTGGCCACACTTCTGATGCAGCCCAGGATACGGTTGGCTATCTGGGCTAAAAACATTGCCAAGTGTTGAGCTTCTCATCAACCAACAGCCCCATGTCCTTCTCAGGGCTGCTCTCAAGCCATTCTCCACCTAGCCTGTATCTGTGCTTGGGATTGCCCCGATCCATGTGCAGGACCTTGCACTTGGCCTTGTTGAACTCCATGAAGTTTGCATGGGCCCCCTTCTCCAGCCTGTCAGGGTTCCTCTGGATGGCATCGCTTCTCTCCAGCGTGTCAGCCGCACCACACAGCTCAGTGTCGTTGGCAAACTGACTGAGGGTGCCTCAATTCCATTGGCCATGTTGCTGACAAAGATGTTAAACAGCGCCGGTCTCAATACTGACCCCTGAGGAATACCATGCATCACTGGTCTCCAGAAAGTATTGGTAACTAAAACCTTTGTTTTTTATGTTAATGGATGCTAAATATACTGTGCCCAGAAGTGAATTAGCTACAGATTATAAATTCACAGAAATAGACCCATGATCACTACTTGTGCATGAGAGAATGCTACTGTCTTGGCTGACAATCAAGCACAGCAGACCCTACTATGGCATAAAATGATAAGTATTTCTGAACATAAAATTCTCACCGAAGTAGGAAAATACTAGAGATAGCAGAAAGCCCAGGATAGTCACTTCTAAGATTAGCCATTATCTACATAAGATAATTAAAAAACATTTATAAAAAGCCTCTACTGTCGGCTACCAGTGTTGCAGGGCTAGGTAAGCACTACTCGCTACTCTAGCAGACAGTCCAGACAAACAGACATTTTAGGGGGCAATTTTAACCACTGTGAAGCAGCACTGGCTCCTTCCCTGGCCACAGCAAGACAGAAAGTAACTATGAGTAAATGTTCCTGCATCTTCAAAGGTCTCATCTGAAGACTCCTATGAGGTATAGTCCTCTGTCCCTGTGCTATTCAACATCTTTGAAGACATAGAAAGACCTGGTAAGGCTACCAAAGGGTAGCAATACAGCGATATAATTCAGTCTTTGTCACTCAGTGTTTTCATCAGAAGTATTATAATTTTTAGTGTCTTAATTGAAATCAATATCTGAATGGAAAAGAATCCAGAGGAGTGATGTTTAAGATGCGTAAGTGCTAAAGAAAGCACTCAGTACTTTTAGGTCAGCTAAGCCCTTTCCAGTTCCTCAGTTCTATCAAGTAATTGTAGCAAAACCACCTGCTTCCATCTTTAAGTGGCTAACAGAGCACGCTACCCTATTAGTGAACAATTGAGCAGAATGACATGTAATAATCATGCCTTTCAGGCTTGACGATGACAGTGAATTAGATCCAGTAATAATGCCATAAGCTCTGATAAAAGTTTCAGGTTGTACAATGGCAAACAATCCATCTGCTTAGTAACACATCTGATCATGCACAAGTTTCTACTTGTGCACTGAAACACAATCTATAGTAGGAGATAACGATTAAATAACATGAGGAGACCACTGACTCCTTTCTGTTGTAAAACCACTGCTCTTCATTCTGAGTCTGATTATTTCTGTATGTCAGTACCAATACTGGCCTCACTTTCCTGGGAAGAAAAAAACCTGTATTTTTTATCACACCGTGTGGTCTCCCAGAAAAATCTGAGCCCACTGGTCAACATTAGCAGACTGTGACATAAGGCTTTAGTTGAAAGATAACTCAGGTCCTCCAAACTTTGTGAAGGGAGGTAGCCTAAACCGACATAAAACCCTTTATTGTTTTTAAAGGCAGCTTTCACTATGTGTCTAACTGGATGTGGAAACAGAAATCTTTTAAAAAAATCTCTCTACAGCTCAAGTCATAAATTGCAAATACAAGGAGTCTTAATATAAACTGAGCTCCCAGATAAGCATTTGTGCAGTATATTTTTGGACAAGTTTCTAAGAGATAGCATTGCACCTAAGGGTTTTGGCTGAACACGTAGCTATTCTAAAAAAGTTCAAATAAATAACCAAATTCATTGGTTTGTATCTATATGAATCTCTGAATGCATTCACTCACAATTTTCAGGTAATTCAAGGCTATATGAACATCTAGAGCATTCCGTTTCTCCTAACGACTGTTCACCCCTTAAACTGTAGTGTAAGCAGATGAAGCCTTATGCATGAGTGAAGCTTCTACATTTTCTCCTGTCTGTGCCAAACAACTATGGCAATGAGCCAAATATTTGTAAAGACTTCATTACCCAAACAAATGTTGACAGATTTTCCATCTGGCAGGACATCATCTGTGCCAGGGGGCAAAGTATGAGTGCCTGGGGAATTCTGCTTGCAACATAAAAGTAAATCCTACAGTGCAAGGCCAGAACAAAAAGTGTTAACTCAACTGTGAGTTCTTATGCCTAGTGGGGTAAGTATATGGCTTAAGTAATCATATATAGGTCAGTATATATCTGATAGTGGTCAGGAACTCGCGTCCTGGAATCACGGTTGAATCTGGCAACACAGACTGGCTCCCCTGGAGGCAAACTCATTCTCAGCAAATGATTTTTGCAGATTTTGTAGATCATTTTCTTATATAGCTAGAAGTGAAAAACACAGTATTGTATGCCATTTTTTTCCCTTTCTAAACAGTCCTTGGATCTCTCCCATCGTTAACTTTTCATTCCAGCTGTTCAGTGCTGAAACACTCGCTCCTCCAAACAGCAGAGAGACAATAACATCAGCTTCTTCTGTTTCCCATAGAAAAATCAGAGCATCTTGTTTGTTCTCAATATGGAAAACTGAGAGTTCCTTGTTCTGAGAGTAACACTGGTTAAAAGTTCTTCTGAACAGAGATGAACAATTTTACTAGTCACAAAACACGGATCTTAGAGAACCATGCATCAGCAATTAAGGGTACATGATGCTCTAAAGTATTGCCACATGGGATTATAAGCAAATAAACCAAGTCTTAACAGCAAAAAATTAACACATTTTAATTTCCAATGTTATGTTCATGAAAAATTGTTTCCTCACCGCTTCTGCCCTTGCAGTCACTAAACTGAATATTAATTTTGGGACAATGCCTTTCATATTCTTTACAACACACCTGCACATCGGGTACATTAAGAACTGCTTCTTCGGTTACCCACACTCATCAAAGTAGAAAACTCAGACTGGACGTTCGTAACCAGAACCTTTTTACCAAATACAGTTCTGGAGGCATGGCTTGAATTTTTACAGACTTGCAACAGTCTGTGAAAAAAAACCCTCAAAGAGATTCCCTTAGCCAGTACTTCAGAAAGCTAAGCTTGCTTGCTTTCTAGCAAAACACTGGCTTTGACAAGACACAGTTCCTCTGAATACCCTACCCTCCAGTGTGTTGACTGCTCCCCCCCATTTCAGTGTCATCTGCAACCCTGATAAAGATGCATTCTGTCCAATTGTCCTGGTCACCAATTAAGATGTTACACTTAAACACATCCTGACTTGTGCAGAAATAGAAAATAATTTGTACTTCCAGTGCATCCTGAATTCTTATTTTGTTATTGCTTGAAAAAATACAAATTGTGCTAGTCTGTCACCTATATAATAATTCTTGATTTTGTGATTACATTTTTACTCGTCTCCACAAATCTTGTCTAATCTTCTTGAGAGAACTGTCTACTGTAATATGCAAAATAATTTTCAAAGTATTTTATCATTTTACCTCTGTGTTTTCATTAACTATGACTTTCATGTATTGCATGGAAGATCTAGTACTTTGGCTCTGCCTGTAACCTGAAGTCATTTGACAGATAAATTGTTATTCTGCACTATGACCCAATTTAATCTCATCCACCTGAATGTCTCTGCATTGTCACTTTTATCTAAAGTGAGTTACCCTTAAGGAGAGATGGCAGAACCTCTATACAAAATATTCTAAAAGGTTTCCAACAGAAGTTTCTGAATCTCACTCAGACATTTTATTTTTTTCCTCTGAGTTCCTGTTCAAATTCTATTGCTTTTATACCATGTATTTGGATTCCAGTCCCCCCTTGTTAAAACTCTACATACGTGGCTACTCTGTGATTTCTTATTGTTGTAAAATCTCTGCCACTTGTAGTCATAAATGTGGCCCTATCTTGCAGAGGGGTTTGATCCATCCAAGCCAAAGCAGAGATTTGAATATCAGATCAAACGACCGCGTTAGTTCTCCGGCTATACTGCCTTCCCGGACTGCCCTGGAGCCCAATACAAAGTGCTTCCAACAGCTCCTCAGAGATTCAGTAAGGAGATCTGTGCAACAAAGGCCAAACCTGAGATATGAGGTGAGCGTCAATCAGATGCACTGCACTGCACCAAGACAGCTTCAAATATGAAATGTATTCCAAGCTCTGCACAGATGCTAGAGCAGAGCAAGACAAGCTAATGAACTGCAAATACAGGCCCCAAACAAAGCTGTGGCTTATTTCTTGCACACAGCAGTGGGAAGCTTTATTGATGCCTTGGACACTGTCGGACGCACACACGCACAAAGCCTGAGAGGCTGAGTGCAAAGGAGGTTCACTTCCCCAGCAGTTCGTAGGAGGAAGAGTCGTCAGAAAAACAGATCTCTCTTCAGCGTTATCTTTAAACAAGGAGAGTACAAAGGAGGGACATGTAGCTGGAAATGGCATGAGATCTGCACAGTTTCAAATTCATTCAGAATGATAACTAATGTAGCAAATGCTACTTACAATATACCACAACCTCACCTGATGCAAAAAATCCTCTTAAGAATCAGTATTATTTCCAGTTCGCGAATATCAAAGTTCACCCTGTAGTGACTCAATCTTAACAGACATTCAAACATTCAACTAGACCTCAGCATTATCTTCCCTCCCTTCCCTGTGAATGCTTCAAACGTATTATTGCTTACTAAATCTTGATAAATTAAGGTTATCTGTTCCCACTGTGAAACAGCTTTTTCAGCCCACACAATTATTTCTTACCTCTAGCTGTCCTCCACAATTTTACAGCATCCTTTTAAAAACATTGATAGTCATACTGCACATTGTCTGTTAGTCCAAATAAGAGTTAAACTGTTCTAATGCTACAAACTGCACTGGTGCTCCAGATATTTTTGGTTGTCAGTTATTAAACAAAAAGCCCTTCTCAGTGGTGAAGCTTTCCACTAGACAGACATTTTCTCTCCTGCAATTTACATTCATTCTCTGTTCCTAGACAACCTTGCATCTGAATGTATTAAAGTCCATACTGCATAATTAAAATCAAATTACTGAACAATGAAAACTACTCTGTAGTAGCCAACTATCTTCAAAGTTATTTTAAAATTATTTACTGCAGGCTATGACTTTTTTTTCCTTCTAGGTAACTGCTAAAAATATGAAGGAGAAGGTGGCTTGTCAGATTGGCCATTAAGATAATAATTTTGGTTCTATCTCTACACACGTATGTCCTGCATCAACTGAGAGCGACAAACATCACTTGGTTTGGCTTAGAAGATAATTAATGAAAACCTATGGGTTTGACTTGTATTTCTTTAGGAATTACAAGCTTCAAATAAGAATAGGGATCCAATATACTACAAACATATCAAAAAGTCTCCAGTTTCACAGAGATAAAGTGTACAAAGATGGACAAAATAGGGAAAGACAATCAGCAGAATATGATGGTATTGAATCATATAACTGAAATCATAATCTTGGTGCAAAGAATAAACATCATAAAACTGAGAAAAGAAGTGCTATTGGTGGTGGAACCCTGAACGGTTTTCCCATTTAAGGGCTTTCATCATAGCCACACCTGTATTGCTCTGGCTCCCATCATGTGCATGGTGGGATTAGATGAGGTTTTTCAGGGTTTAGAGTGCAGAAACATTCGTTTGATCTATCAATGACGGGGTGGCAACTCCTATTAGTCTTGCTTCCCTTAGCTCATTTTGCACGTGGTTAAACTGAGATCTAATATTCATGTAGCTACTTTGCTCATTCATCGGGTTCCCGCTTATTCCACTCGTCTGACATGCAGTTATTACACCGGTGTTGTGATCGGGCTCCTGGGCTGATACTGTGATGTACCTCACGTCACAGGAGGCATACCTGCCTCTCCTCCCTCTTCTGTGTGGACGACCACAACTTGATGGCAGAAGTAAGAAGTATCAGGAGAAAAAAAAAAACCCAGTGCTCAGCTGAGCAGGTGCGTTTCATTCTTAAGCAGCTCAGTCTTAACCTTGTTTCAAGCTCTACTTTAGCTTAGATTCGAGACTTCGACAGGGCACGTTTCAGCTGATGCCGGTTTTGAGCTGTGCCTCGCCGCGTGCCGCGTCAGACGCCAACGGGAACCCCAGGCCGGGGCCCGCCGGGCCGGCAGGTTCCGCCCCACAGCGCGACTTTCTCTGGCTCAG